ATGATGGCGTAGAAGCGGCAACTCAACTTGGCTAACAAAGTTATGACAAGGATTTATGAAGTATGCATTAAAAATGAGCAGCTATTTGCCGTTTTGCAGTTCGAGTGTGTTTAAGAATTTGCTTAAAGCTTTCCGAGTTAAAGCGAAAGTCCCGAAAAAAAGGCGAAAAAGAAATCTCGGCATCGCCTTGAAGACGTTTGCCATTCCCACGCAGTTGAAACAAAAACATTTTTGTTTGTTTCCCCGGCAGTTTGCCGTTTGTCCCGTTTGTTTGCATACAAATTCTTCAGACGACGAACGGAGACGCCGCCACATTTGTTTGCCAACAGGCAACAGGCAACAGGCAACTGACAACTGCTAAAGGAGTCGTCTCCCGGGTTCCCGGGTTTCTTCTCGCTCGCCTTTCAGTGCGTTTCAGTCCCTCGGAAGTACACATACGTGCCACCTTAACTGTGCATATAAAAATTCGCATATAAATCAGCGACACTCCCGCTTCTGCCGCACATTTTCCTTGTCCCAGTGCCATCTGTAAACATATCGTTATTTATCCATTTACCCCGTTCCACGTGACTGACATCCAACGGGGGAAGGGAAGGGAAATGAAGGGTCTTTTAGTGTAACAATATGTCGGTTTCCTTGGGCGTTCGTTCAGGATGCAAGTTAATAGGGGAACATGATGTGGTTGCGGTGCACCACTTTTTTCTTCGGGCAATAAACGAGCGGGTTGGGTTGAGTGTCAATCAATTTGAACAGAATGTTTTAATTTAAGAATGTTGTTGGGGGAGTACGAAATAATAAAAACAAGCATGTTTTGTAGTAGGTAAGATGCCATGTTTTATCGCTTAAGAGAACAACTTTAAAGAATTTAAAGCAAAGAAATTTATCAACTATAAGCCTCGTAGAATATTATTAAATTGCTATGAACTTGTTCGGATTTGAAAATAATTTTTATTCCCCACTACCATTTAAGAACAGGTTATTTTGAAAATATTTTATCGAATTTTGAAAATATTTTTGACGAAAATTTAAATATTACGATAAGTTACGGGGGATTGGTACACAAAAAAAACCATTATTGCCTACTTATTTTTTTTGGAAAAATGGTTTAAAATTTATCGAAATTATTTAATTATTTAAAAAAATTTAATTTAAACAAATGCTTCTGAAATTCCTTCCAAGAAGTGTACCTAAAATTATTTGTTTATATTCTCAAACTAAATGCATATACCTATTAAGAAATGGAAACTGAATGAGTCTCCCACTTGAACCAGAGTGCCAGTGCCGCGTTAAACTAATCCCGGAATGTTTTTCATCCCCTCCCCGAAACTATTATCCAAGCGTTCTGTCGACGTGCTCAACGTGAATATAAATCCAGTGCCTCGCTCGCACTAACTCCTTATTTTCCTCCTTTCCGCGCTGAATGGTTCTCATTACCAATGCAGCGCGTGGAGTGGGAAATATGTATTTTTATATACACATGATGAGCTCGATTTTCTTTTCAGTTTCATTTTCATTTTCGTAATAGCGCTCTGACAATTTTCATGTGAACTGGCGACGATTTTTCACCGTCAGACTGCGGTGAGCAGAAGGAGCAGAAGGATGTGGAATGTGGGCTGTGGGGGAAAAGGACGAAGGATGCAGGAGGGAGAAACTATCCTCGCCGACTGCAAGGATTTCACACACAACAAGCGGTGGGCAGGAACTTAAGCAGGAAACAGGAAAAGCTACGGGTCTCTTACTTTTCTCCATCCTCTTCTTCTTGCTACGTGACGTCTTTCTCTCGAGACGTCACAAGATTTATTGTATGCAAGTTATGGGTGTGTGTGTGTGTATGTGTGTGTGTGTATGTGTGTGTTGTGTTTGCACTCGTGTAGGTGTAAATATGCAAATCGGTTTTATTTATTTTTTTTCGCCAGCTTTCCCGACGACTTTTTCACAGCAACTGAAATGTGCTTAAAATTTGCAAAATTGTAGTTCATTTTTATATTCTGTCGAATTGTGTGCTTTTTGTTTCCCCTTTTCACCTTGACAATTGTCCTGGGGCCACAAATGCTGCACACAGAATACAAACAGGGTTTTTTCCCTTCGACTAAGTTTGATTTGGCTTCCCAGATTTAACCGAATGCATCCATTTCTCAATGCCGGCCCTTCGTTCTGTTTGTGTTTTCGGTTTCCTCTGCCTCTTGACAAGAGTTTGAGTGCCATTTTTCGCTTTGGTTGTCGGTTTATGGTCGAGAACACCTCTCAGGTTCGTAAAAGGGCAGTTAAAAAGAAAGCCGGCATTTCTACAACCGTTTATTCCTTGTACACTTCTTTCCCATGAGTTACATCAATCAACTAAGTAAACAAGATTGCTTTTAAAATTTGTTTTCTTTTCATAAAATGGTTCTTTTTTAACTACATAAATTTCCTAAATTTTTGCCTTTTAATTTTACTATTTTTTTCTTTCTCTATTACTAAATATAAAAAGGTATAATATATTTTAAAACCGCTCCATTAAAATTGAGATATGTAAGTGTATTTAAGCAACACACTTAATCTTTTCCTTAGCCTTTTTCTTTTCTTACAGGTTTACCCTTTGGTAAAATCCATTCCTTGCGAATTAAGCGTTTTGGGTCCTCTCGTTGCTTTCCCACTTAATTGAAAATTAAAAAGGTGCACATAAAAAATTAAAATTAATTTCGTGCCGTTTGACCAAATTCCGCTTGACCTTATTGTTAGGCAGAAAGGCCTTCGGACTTACTTGCTGAAATCTCATTTAATTCATAGGATAAAGTTGGCAAATTCTCAAATGCCCATTTAACGTTTAGCGGACTCGTTTTTAAAAATGCATACTAGGGCACACCGCTCTTTTGTGGCGGATCTTTTTAACTTTTTTGCTGGGACAGCGTTGAACTTGAACATTTTCCCGGGGAGAGGAGACACCATGGAAGTCCGAGGAGGCAGAGCGTGTAAAATGGCCAACGAAAATTGCAGCTGCCAAGCAAACACATGCAAAAACCGCAGCTGCCACTTCCGCGAGTTTCAGTCCGGGGAACCCCAGGATGCCAGGATGCCAGTATGCCAGGATACGAGGACCCCGCGATCCCGCACTTCCCGTCTTCCTTCCCGGGATGCCTCATTTGGCGGCTCGTTGTGGTAAAAGCTCCAAAAAAGATTGGACGGGTAAACAGATCGACTTTAGCATACTCTAGTTTGCATTGAGTTACAAACAATTGAAATAAAACCTATACATATATTATTTTTTAGTAAAAAGTATTAGCTCTTAAAGTAAACAAAGCATTCCTATAAAATCTGTCTTTTATTATACATTTTTATTGTATAACTAATTTTCATAAAATGTTTTATTTACTTTGTTTGTCACATTAACAAATTAGGATGATAAAGGTCTTCAGGTTTTCATGAACAATTTTCTTTTTAAGTGAATAAATCTATTATAAAACTTATTTGAAATCAATAAGTATCTTGTCTCTTAATTGATTTGATCTTAATACACCATATTATACAGCACTAAATATTATTTTATTATATTTATAAAATACTCAATCTTTAAATTTATTACTCAAAATTGTTATCTTTTTTGATCTTTAATGTGGCATACCTTCCCCCAAATCGCTGAGTACTTCAACAACGGCCGAGTTAGCAAAAATGTTTAAACAGCTGGTAAAATACAAAGGACGCAAAGGACGTAGGTAAATTTCTGGTGAGGGGCGGAGGATGAGGAGGTCCTGTCGGAACACAAAATCTGACGCCTAAACGCGGCTTAGCGATTAAAGCGCTTTTCAAATTTGGCCTTTGGGGGATTTTTTAAGCGACCAGAGCTGGGTTACATTTTGTTTTCCTCGTTCGTGGCTGCCTCGCCGTGTTTGTTTTGGCTGGGAGAACATGGCCCAAAGGGAGGAGAATGGCTAATGCCAGGGTAGTGTTAATTTTGCTACGAACTGCAGCGACAAGTTTATTTCGCTTCGTTGTTTTCTACTACGCTACTTTCGCATGGTTTGAGGCGTTTGCGGTTGTGGATTGGCAATTCCACGGGAATTGGGGATAAATTGAAGCGTATGGAGTGTCTACATGCAATAATAGTGCTCAAGGGTTGGCTAATTGAGAGGAGAACTAATTTGCAGATGGTGGAATGCAATATTAAACCTAGAAGCGCTGTTTAAATTATGTCGCTTACTTGAGTTTAAACTGTGTGGATTGGCAAGTAGTTTCGATGAGAATTAAATTTATTAAGCGGATAATATTTAATTATATAAAAACATGAAAATATTGTGCTTTAACAAATGCATTCAAAATAAATAAAACCAAATATTGTACTATTGTGTAGTCTACATTTTAATTTCTCCTGTATTGTGTAGCTGTCAAATAGAAAATATCTGAAATTGCTCAAATATACGAAAGTGTTGTAGAAGTTGACATGTTGCATCAGTTTTCTATTGCCAATTTTCCTTTCACCACACATCATTCTTAATTTTCAGTGGTCTTTTCATCTCTTTTCGGATCAATTTGTAATTTTCCCCCATTCAACAGCACAAAAACGAGTTGCATAATTTCGAATATTTTTCCTTCAGCTTGGTAGACAAAAAAAAAACCCTTCTCCAATTCCAAACCCAATGTGGCAAGCAAGTCACAGTCACAGCTTGCGACATTGGCCATGTTGTTGCTAAATTGTTAAATAAATCAAAATCCGAGAGCTCAGGAACCAGACCCTCAAGCCAAACTGGCACGCCAAGTGCCAATTGCATGGGAATCACCGGGGTGATAGATTTAGTGGGTGAATGGGTGGTGGGGCTATATTTTGGGTGGTTTGAGTGGGTGGCGAATGTTATTGATGTGCTTTTAATTGAGGCTTGTGTGTCTGCTGCATGTTGCTGTCAGCTTTCAACGTCTGCCCCTCCCCGTTTGGAATTTATGCCCCCCTTTTACACTGTCACTTGTCCAATCATTTGACTCATAACGAAATTTTATTAGTTTTTCAGCTTCAGTTTTTCAACACTTACCGGCAGTCGACGTGTGGGCCATGCAAATGGTCAACATCAAAATGGTAAAGCTGATGGAGCCACGAACACCCAACAAATTCCCCCAGTCGATTCGCCTTCGACGACCTCGTCGCTGTTGGTTATTATTGCATTTTTTCCTAGACATCTGCAGATCTGTTCCGGAATCCTCCTGATGAATTTCGAGGCAGAGTCTCAGCTGGGATGCCTCCGAATGCTTCTCTGTTCTGTGCATTTCTGTAGCTGGAATGCAGAAGGAAGATTCTCAATGATATACTTAAAGCTGTCTTAATTATTAAATCCGTATTTATTGGGCAAGCCTCTGGGGTAAATAATGCTCATCGGCAAAGTTTTATTGATTTGCTTAATTTATGCAAAGTCTTCTGCATCAGCCAAAAACTTTCAGAATTAAAAAAATGTCAGGAAAAATTGCCTTAAGTTTCTGGTGAAAGTTTACGAGGGAAGGAGATTTATGAAGCCGGGAGTTGAGGGCTGAAGGCAACTGTTACTGAAAGTATTAATTGAAAAAAGGCAATCGACTACTAAGAACGTGATGAACGAACTTGACATTTGACCCTGGCAACAAAATTTATTGACCTCTTCTTTTTCTTAAGGGGCACAACTAGTGTGAAGTTTTAAAAAAATCAAAAAATTTTTTTTTCATATTTCGGTGGATTACACCTTCAAAAATAACATATTAAAATTTAAAATCGATATCTCAAATAGTTTTTGAGTTATAGCAATTTTAAGAGCAGCCGCTCTCATAGCAGTGCAAGCGATCATTTTATCTTTAAACGCGTTTTTCTCGAAACAGCATTTTCCGAATTTGCTGCAGTGATAACTCAAAAACTAATGATCCGATCACTACCAAATTTTTTTTATGTTCTTTATATAGTTCTACGTACCATGAACTATCGGTTTTTTGATCCGATCAAAAATCGAATTTTGGCAGGCCAAAAACGACCGAAATTTTGGTTAAAATTCGATTTTTTTTTTAAAACGCTGCCATTTTGTCATTTTTTTATATTTTTTTTTTATCGTAGTTCATGGTATGAAAAAATATTATCTAGTTTCACGAGAATTTTTCATTTTTCGATTTCGTCCACGGAGAGGGCCGGAATCACTGCAGCAGTTGAGGCACTTTTTTTTTTAGCGCCGTTGGAGATCGACTATAACTTAAAAAATATTTAACTTTTTTCTTTAAAAATTTCACTATACATTCTTAAAACATGTATAAATATATTCTGAAAATTTGAAAAGAATTGATCAAGTAGTTTTTTTTATAAAAATTCCCAAACATCACCATTTTTTTAGGCCGTCACACTAGTTGTGCCCCTTAAAGCATAATTTAAACGAAAGGAAGCTAATAATAATAAATTAAATTTTCACACATAAACACTCGCTAACTTTTTAAATAGATTTATATATGGCAAAAAATAAAAATGATAATAAATAAAAATATTTTTGAATATAATTCATAACTATTTATGAGAACTTTTTGATGTATGAATATCTTGCCACTTAAAACTTTTTAACTCGGTTTCTGCACTTTAAATCATTACTAAATCAACTTTATTAAAACAACACACAGCTCCCATTAATTTAAACGATTCGAGCTTCAACGGATCGAAACCAGCAAATTTGCATTTATTAAGTATTCGCATTCTTAACAGCTTTTGGCTAACACAATAAAGATGTTTAATATTTTATGGTAAGTGATTTATGTCAAACATGCCATGAATATTTCATATCAACATAATTTGGTTAACGGTGAACATTTGTAGTAAGTGGAGGAATTTGAGATGCCTGATTTGATAAAACGCTTTACTTTTAATCAGATTCGATACGCAAAAAATGACTAGAATTCGCCACTTGTCTGACAAAAATAATGCATGGATGTTAATGCAAGTAAATTAATGAAAAATGCATTTGACAGAGTGAAAAACACTGCATAGATGTTGAATGTATGTAAATAAATGAAAAGTGCATTTGACAGTCTGAATATCAATCAAAAATCCGACAAGAGCGAATCAAATTCCGGGAGCGGCTAGAACAATGCAAATGCTGTACAATTTGAGGCAAATTAAATATTAATTAGTGTGGCGTGTGCATAAAAGTTAATTAATGTTTTTACGCCCTAGGTGTTAATAATTAATGAGCGTGAGTCGCTTTTTGCTCTCCGTCGACCTGCCTTTTATGTCTGGGCGTTTGTTTATTTACGGATAATTAAGCAGCCTGCAAACTTATGCACAATAAATAAATATTTAATCAATCGGTTTGTGGAAATCAGTGTAGAAATGTATCAATCCACTTGCAGGGCAGAGCTTTAAAATCCATTTAATGGGTTAAAAAAATAGTTTTTTTTTAGCTGATTAAAGATAAGCATTTTAATTGCATTAAGTTAAGTGTGGTAGGTATTTTATTGTATTTTACAAATACTTTTACAAATCACCTTTTCTGAGACTTTTGTTTGTCAGTTTGTTTTTATGTGCCATCGCTTTACTTTTTAGTTCAACTTCAGAGGGCAAACACAAACTTTTTTGCTTCCAAAATTCAAATTGTTTTTACCAACGTTTAAAATTATTTGCAACACTTTTAAGTATAGCAGTTAATTTAAAGAAAATTGGGAATGATTTCCAGAAACTATGGTATGAGAGCTTTAAATTTGCTGTAAAAAAAACCAAAAATATTGGTATATTTATTCAAGGACCTGGACCCGGAGCTTACATGCTTCCGAGCAGTTTTGGGCAGAAAGCACCGAAGTACTCCTTTGGCCAAAGGATCGATCGCAGGAGACAAGAAAAATTTGGTCCTGGCCCAGCTGCCTATAAGATAGACAAAGTCACTCGACACGGAAAATCGGAGGGCCCCAAGTTTTCCATTTTGGTTAGATGTCCACTTCCTAGTAGGTTATCATAAATAACAATGTCTTTTTATTTAATGTCTGTACTGAGGATGATTTATAATATTTAAGATGAACATGAAAATCTATAAACAAATATCTAACAATAGTAAAATAAAGAAGCAATCTTTGAGACGTAAAAATAACATACCGAATGTGCTACAGAACTACTTAAATTAGTTTTTATGCACTTAAATCATTAGAGGCAGAAAATGGTAAACGAATTGAACAACCAATACAGCAAATAAGCCGATCTAATAACCATAAATATTTATTGCCTGCAACTGAATCGATTCTGCAGGCGATTTGTCCCCTTAAAACACCCGCCTTGCGTCTCCAATTTACTTTAATTAATGTTTAAGACATTGACGTACAATTTGCATTCATCGATGCCATGGCAACGGGGATTGCTAATCGGCGTTTCCCTTTAACTCTGCAATTAATTCGATGACACATTCAAATCGAGCATGTATGTGGATGCAACAAATGCAAATTGTCGGTGGGAGGCGGAAATAATGATGGGTTGTGGTGGAAGGTGATATGGCTATTGATACACAATGTGGCGACAACCACTTGTTGGGCCCGAAAAGCCTTTCCGCCCAGGACACTCCACACTCCACTCCACGTCGAGGGCTTAGAAGTGGGCTCTTCTCCGACTCTTCAGCTGTTGGGCTTTGTGAATTCCCGAGTGGCGGACGTGGAACTGTAATGAAGCCGCCGGCCGAGCTCTTAAGTAACTCACTTTGCAGCCCAGTCCTCATTCCCCATTCAACTGGCCAAAGGAGCAGCTTCTGGCCGGCTTCTAAGCGAAAGCCTGTTATTTTCCCCGCTGCCTGTAATAATCACACAGTAAACAGGCAGCGGACTGGGGACATGACTCGGGTTGGAATGGCCGGGCTACACAGGGAAATAAATACTTTGAATTTACATAAAATAAATAAAATTGATATAGTAAAGGTTTAAAATAAGAGTCAAGCATTTTGCCAGATAAAAAAAATAAAATGAAGTCTTTGGTCAAAAAATTCATGAACAATTGCTAAAAAAATTCTTTTCGATATCAACCAAAAAACATCTAAAACTGTTGTAAATTAAATCTACAAAACATTGAAAAACTAAAATAAGTATCTATTAAGTAATAAAATATGTTCTGCCTGATAATTGAATGTGTTTTTGTTCTCTATTTTAATAATAGAAAAATGTTTAAAAAGGTCAAATTTAAATATATTATTGAATTTTAATAAATATATTTTAATCATCTTTTCTTTCGGTGCAGTGGACTTTGTCGTGGGAATGGCCAGCAGAAAGGCAAAGAAAGGAAAGGGCTTTGGACTAACTGAGCCCCAGTGGAGGAGACCCCTCCCATCTGGAGGGCAGAAGGCAGTAAGCAGAAGGCAGCGCAGTGCCAGCCCAGTTGTAATTGCAACGTCAACGTAAATGCATGCCACAAGCAGCGGCGACTCAGGAATTTCACGGATGTGCGATGTGCGTGCATTTTGCAGATGCTCCAACTGACCGCCGCTTGGACATCACGTATTCGCACAGACACAGCTACAGGAGTGCGCATTTGATTGCATTTTCGCTTCCGAAGGACGAGGATTGGAGGGGGTGGAGGGGGAAGGGGGAAGTGGATGCTCGGGGGCGGGGATCTTGGGAGTCCAGAAACTGGGGAGCTCGGGAGCTCTGCCCTTCCAAAGATTTATCTGTGCGCGTTTATTTTAATGTTACGTTCTGGCATCTTTGCTCATTTTTGCCTGCCTGCCATTCCACTTATATATTTTCATATAATACCCTTCACAAAGGGTTTTACAACATAAAGAAAATATTCGTTGAAGAAAAAAAAGATAATAAAAGTGTACAAAAATTCTAAATAAGTTCTTTATAATAAAAAATGAAATAATCATAATTAAGAACTTTCAAGAAATATGAACTACAATTTTTATTAACCAACAAGCAAGGTAGTTAAAATAATTTCTTTTTTTGTTCTGCCCTTACTTACATATATTCATTAACAAGGTATTACAATGTTCAAAAAAGGCAATTTAAAATAAATGACTCTCAAGCAAAAAAAAAAAAAAAAAAAAAAGAATGGTCTGCTCAACTTTATGTAAAATCTGCCTCTTGACTTTCCTTCGAAAATGCAGTAATTTAATTCCCATTTAACAACAAGGTTTCTTAAGTGCATCTAATCTCTGGAGAAGAAGGGTAATTGCGAACGTCTTGTTTAGTTTTTGGTTTGCTTAAGCAGCCTCTTTCGATGCATTGCTGCCCATTGGCTGGATGTCTTTGGCTTGATGAAGGCAGTGGGTTGCCGTCTTCATCTGGCCATCAGCCCATCAGCAGCATCATCATCATCTCATCATCTCATCTGTGGAGCTGCAGAAGCTGCATCCTCGATGGCGTGCCAACCATTCCCATTCCCATTCCCATTTTCATTCCCGAGCGTGGTACGTTGACCGCTCGGAATGTTGATTCATCTTCTTGGCTATAACTGCTGCCAGTTTGCACGGACTACCTCCCTTTTTTTTTGTGTGTTTTTTTTTCTCATACAACTCCACTTGCTCTTTTATGTCAATCAGCAGTTTGGCATGTAGCTCTCCTCGTTTATGGGCCATCATCGCCGGCAGTGGCGACTATTTTTAGTGGAGCACATGCTCCTCTATTCTATTCCTGACTTCAGTTCAGTATGTTAGATCCGAAGTCGGGTTCTCTATTATTGCCATAATAAGCCAAGATTGCCCTTAAGTGGCCGACAGGCTTTGAGCCCCGATGCATTCTTCTTTATTTTTAGCACGATCTCAGCCTGTCTGGGCTGTTGCATGAATAATTACCAGTTGGCTCAGAAAGGCCCACATGATCGGAGTGGATAATTGTAAATGGGCATAGAACTTAATTGCATTTAAATGCCGGGAGGTGTGGCTACTGCGGAAAAGCGCCTTATGAAAGTCTGGAAAATAGGAGGCTTCTAGGAAATAGCTAATTTATATTTAACATATAATTAGATTTTATTTTGTAACATTAAGTAACCGAATAAAGAACGATGTAATAAATGCATGTAAGCTATAAAAAGCGAGGAGCTGCATAAAAGTGATAAGTGTATTTTTGTAAAGCAACTATAGAATCATATTTCGTAATAATTTTCTCAGTTTTTAAAAGTTAGCTTTGGATTATTATTCTATAAAAATAGTAAAACAAAAAATAAAAAATATAGATCTAAATTTAAATCACTCTCAATTAGGAATAATTAATTTTATTTATTTTATTTTACTATTAAGTATATTTTTTTTTGTTTTTAATACCTTTTGAATTACAAGCAAGACATTTAAAGAGATTAGTACAAGGCACCATAGCATCCTTTTTTTTCTTTTTATTTTCCTGGGAAACCCCACGAGGAAATCATGCACGATTTCCCAGCCTTTGTTTAATATTCGTCTCAACCGAATTCATTGGGCCAACTGTCATTAGCAATTGGGGCAATCAACGGAACACTTTTGGCAAAACAAAACGTATTCGTAACAAAAGATAATGTTAATTTGACGGCCCCCGGCAATTGATTTCCCTCCGACTGACAAACACAGGCAGGTTGATTGAAGGGTCATTACAGGGTTATAGGAAGTCGGGAATCGGAATTGGAATCCGAATCGGAATCGAGCTGACCTCACACGCATTTCGCTTTATTTATTCTATTTCCGATTTTAATTGATAATGCCGAATCGAGTTGTTGTCTTTGGTCTAACCTCCCCTTGATTAACCATAATCGACCCTGTTCCACGCACGTGACTTGTTTAAGTGATTGCTAAAAAATTTAATGAGCCTGGTTGAAATTGGTGAAAATTGTGGGTCTACCATATGGCGAATTAATCACAACAAATAAAACTTTTAATAAAATAATCTAGCTCCCAGCATTTCGTTGGATGACCCAATTTTATCTGGAAACATCGGTAACAAATTTAAATGAACATGTCGTTTATTTTCGCAATATTCGCATTATTCTGATTTCTGGAAAAAACTTTAAACGGTTACCTTAACTTTGCTCATCCGAAATGATCCGCATTAAGTAGCCGTAAGTCATCGCCGGTCAGCTCACACTAAGCTATCGCATTAAAACTTTTCAGGAATTTAAGACCCATTTAATGTGAGTCAAAAAGTCAATAAACCCAAGTCTTTCTGCTGCTTAACGAAATACCAAAAATAAAAAGGAAAAGACCGCCAAAAACAAGACAAGAAAACAAAAGTGGAGCAACAAAAACCTGTCACGTTTCCACAAAAGTGCATTCACATTTTGAAAGTCAAAGCGAAGGAGAGCGAAGTTTTAATGTATCTTCGATGGAGTAGCCACCCCAGTTGTGCAGATACAATTCTATCTTAAAGCCGCATCTCTCGACAACTTTCCTTGTTGGCCAAAGACAAATTCGGCCAATTACTTCATTATTCGCTGAGGTTTCTGGGTTTTTGGGGTCCTTTCTCGATGGTCGACTGTCGTCTGACGGCTGTCGTCTGCCATCAGGTGAAAGGCAAATAAAACGTCAATTTGTATAGCCAGTTGTGTCCTTTTCTTATTATTCATATGCACATTACACATTCTGAATTTATTCATGCCTTGGGAGCGAGACCTTTTTGTGTCAATAATCATTTACATGTTTATCTAATTTGGGCGGCATTTTCTGTTTCTGTTGGCTGTCTTTTTTTTATGGCAGCTTCAACTTGAACTTGGGGTGAAATTGTGATTCGTGGGAATTCAATTATGGCCGGCAAATGTGGGCCACGGCACAGATACACAGATTTCGGCTCTCATTCGGCTTTTGCATTGCGCTACTTTTGGGCGCTTCCTCTCGACTTGTTGCCGCGCCAAAAAAACGAGTTGATGACCAACCCGCAAAATTGTGCACTGGAAGTTGTAAAACGGCCAATAACTACAAAAAAAAAAAAAACAACAACAAAAAACAAAACTGAAAACCCCAAAACAAAAATCAACCGAGCCAATGCCAATGAAACGAGGAACTTTGTTGTTGCTGCCAGTTGGCCTGTCATCGACGTCAGTGCAAGTGTTATGGCAGCAATTATTGTGGTTTCCGTATGCGAATTTTCATTTTGACAGCCCAAAGCAACTCTGAGAAGGATGTGTAGGATGCAGGACGTTTCCTGAATA